CCTTGCCCCCCCCCCCCTTTTTGGACATCTCTGGATCCGCCCCTGTACCGTGCGAATAAGTTATTCCCATGGAATTCATACATCGTGAATTAACTATTTTAACACGGTATTGTCTCCTTTAAAGAAATTTCAGGACGAAAATAACCTTGTAGAGTACTTTACATACAACCATCTTTCGACAGTTAACACATCTCCCTATGGTCTCTGGGCGCTGTGCTTTGTGTATATCATTAGGCCTACAATGTATCCAGTAGCTGCATTTCGAAAACACTCCCACACGTTGGAAAAGGTCCAAAAGGCAGTGAAGAATGTACATCAATATAAATCTTATTTTCCAGTACAGTAGATATTCGGTGGCGGATCCAGGATTTATTATGGAAAGAGGGATTACGAGAGACTTTCAGAGATGTGCGAGTCTACAAAATTAAAACCCTATTAAAACTGCACATAAAATTGAGTAATTTTGCATCAGTTTGGCATCCTCTCATCTCCTTTGTTCCAACTCCCCATGGTTGGTGCTAAGTAATTCATTCTTTATTTTCCCCATGTAATATTTTTGAATGGAACAAAAATCACTACTAGGCCCTATGATAGGGACTATGTACCAGGGAGTTGTTATAGTGACTATAACAACTCCCTGTCAGTACATACTCCACAAAGGCTTTTTCATGGCAATTTCTCAAGAATAGCCTAAGAAAAGAGTAAAAGGTCTGCAGACACAATGCTAAGCTAGGACCTATTGCACTTCAGTTAGGGTTATCGAATCGACGGTATGCCGTGAATATAGTATTTCTATCTACAACATTCAACCGTGCGAATAAGAGTTTTTTCGACAATTCGCACTGTGCTGTGCGAATAAGCTCTTAAGAGTCTAGTCGTACTAGCCAATCAGCATTTAAGTTTTCATGACGTAACGGCTGTCATATTGTGTGTGTACGTACCGTGAGAATAACCTCTTCCAAATTTTAATTCGGTCGTTGATGGCGCTGTATAGAATGAGGATCCCCCCCCCCCCACCACCCAGAGAATAACCAAGGAGGTATAATACCTCCTTGAATAACTAACTAAATAAATAAGTAAATGAAAGTCTAGGCAGGGGAGTGTTCGTCTTTGAACGAAGAGCTTGAGTTGAGGTAGGTGCTAAGCCTATAGAAACTCATTCAACAGTTAAATACTGTCTGTATAGGATAGTTATACACGTTGTCCACCAGGTCAGTCTGGCCATGGTCTGGCTGAGGCCTAGGAGTCTAGTTAGGAGGCCTAGGGGCCTAGCCTAGCACCTGTTTTTGAATTTAAGCCTAGACCTAGCTCTAGGCTAGGGCCTACTACTACTAGGCCTAGGCCCCTTTACTACTACTACTAGGCCTAATATATTATAGGTTAAAGGCCTGTCAGGAAAAATTTGGTCCGGGCCAAAATCGGTCCGCCGGACCGATTTTGGCCTTAAAATTACCTGCCAAATAATATAGTCCACATAAGCTAAAATCGGTCCGGCGTCTATTTAATAGTTATTAAACTTGTATTTTTATAATGTTCATATTTTTTTGTATTGTAAATGATAGATAAATATCTTACCTCTTATTATATAGCCTAATATGTTTTCATTTGTTATTGTATGTGTGAAATCATAGCCATAGGTGAAATCACTGGTGAAAATTAAGTAAAGCTTCGCGCCAAGTAAACCCTTTGGTGTAAAAGTATGAAAAGAAGTTAAACGTGTTGGTCCGCTGTAGATTTTTTACCTTGTTTTGTTTTGGTTGTGTGTGCTCCGCGACGAAGTACATGCATTTAATTCTGAGAATGCTTACTCCTTTGTTTCGTGTATTAGAACATCTATTGTATGACCCAATACCCCACACAATAATACGGAATATTTAAAACTAATAAATATCAGTCTTGTGTTTCATTTTAGGCCCAAACGTAAACAACCACGGCCGCCGAAAATGATGCACGCTGTGTGTATCGCCTAGGCCTAAGAAATGCATTACCAGAATGCTGGTGGTGTGATAAAACACTTCGGAATGTGGTTTGATAAAACACTTAACGAATCATGTCACTGCAAAAGACTTTGCAAGTGTGGGAGAAGCATACTTTCCTCCACTCCACGGGAGAAACAATCATACCCTACTAGCAGCAGACGAATTACTGTACAAAT